TTTTTGACACACATTGAAATCTTTTTTATTTCGTTGTCTGTTGTCTCCTTTGTGCTGTTATGCTCTGTGGTGGGGAAAATTAGGGTCAAGAAATACGATTCCAATAAAAAGCCAGGTTCTTTTTCAGTGTTTATTCATAACATTTTAGTCTTTAACCAAATTGTCTGTGATTTGTTTTGACTCTGACAAATATCACAGCTTCTCCACTAGGACTCCAACAGGACATCATACTGTGAGGGATGTTATGATTGTCTTGTTATCTAATTACTTTGCAAAGTAAAATAAAGTGACAACTGAGTGAAATCCATCCATCTCTGTTTATTTAACTGGAGTGAATTGTTAAATACTTTTTCATGCAACAGCTCTCTATTTTGTGTCCCTGTCATCTTATATTTGTATGGAAGCAGACTTCTATATCTTCTGTATCTATTTGTGCTGTTTTGTTTTGTTTTATTTCTCTCTTTTCATGCTCTCTTTCCCCTCTCTCTCTCCCCTTAGATCTTATAACCTCTTTCCATCTCTGTAGCATTAAGTCATTCATTCAGGGGCTACTTTTGTATGAAGAATTCTGTGTAGAATGGTGTCTCTTTAATATTATTGGTCTAGCAGTGCCAATGGGGATTTAGAGGGTCTACAAGCTGAACACCAAGACACATCTTACAGCTTACATTACCCCAACTTATTAAATTTGAATTCCTAATTATCGGGAGTTCATATGGAGTTATTTTGTCAAGGAGTTATCAGTACTCATCATATTTTAGTACCAGTAATAAACAAGGCAGCCAAAGGTTTGACAAAACCTAAAGATGAAAGCCAGATAAAGAAACAAAACATTACGTTTACCAACTAAACCAAAGCTTAGTCATCACTTACTTTGTGTGATACAGCACTGAATCCACTTTGGGACATTTCAACAGTCAATTTTTCAGATCGAGTCACAATGGACCCTAAAGAATGTACAAACAGGGAAAAATGTAACAATGGGGTGAACAGAAAAAAATCATTTTGTTTCCACATTGATCAAACTTGAAAAACTAAAAACTGAAGAAATGGTTAACATTACCTTCTATATCAAAGATCTGCTTTTGCAAATTTTCTAGTAATCCTGTGAGTCCATCATAGTTTTCAATCTTTAAGGCATTTTTGTCTTTTGGCTTTGATGCAATGTTTCTTAATTTTTCTAAATTAACATTTTTGACCTGAAATGACAAGAATAAATACATATTTTTTTTAACCTGATGTCATTCAAAACCCCATTAGGTTTACACTGTGGCATAGGAAAGAAAAAGCAAACTTCATCCTTCAAATAGCAGCGATTTTAAATGGTTCGCATCAGTGGTTCAACATCAGTCAGTATTCTGCAGCCATTTTGATTCAAATGACAAAACATGCGGCTGCATCTGGTTATGTCCAGGTGTTGTTAGACAAGATTTCATGGTGTACTGTGCCATTACAGCAAACACAGGGACACAAAACCATTCACACACATGTTCTTACTTGAAAAACGATTAAACTAACAGCTTTTTTTTACAGTGGGAACCCATGCTAGGGGAGATTATTGATACTCCTAGTAGAAAATCCCCAGGTTATATTTAAAAACCAGGACATTTTTTTTGTGTCACTCAGGTTTACTAATAAAATACAAGAAACAAATAAATTACCACAACTGTATATGTCAATCAGCTACTACAGCAACCTGTTCAAACTTACTCCAATGACAATTCGAACGATCTCTTTACGTTCATAGGTTTCTACACTCTTGTGATTTCTATCAGTGTCACTTGGATCTCCATCTGTGATTATCACCACAGCTTTAGCTGCATCTTCCGAGGCTCCCGCTGTTTGGTTTTCAAAAATGCTTGACCTGAAGAAATGCAGACATTTAGAGATGTTTAACAAATTCTAACACATAGACCTTACAAACAAAGTCTTGAAGTAAATGTATTTAATGTAACCAAACTTACAGTGTTAATTTGAGGGCTTTATGTGTGTTGGTCAGAGACATCAATTGTTCTTCTTTTTCAAGTTTCTCTAGAGCTGTGCCATTGACATAGTCATTAAAGTCAAACACTGTTCTGAACTCTGTAGAAAACTGAGCTGCTGCAACCTAAAGGAAAACATATATTATAGATCTAAAATTATGAAAAGACAATGGATTATACATTTAATTGCAAATACTTTAAATAAGTTGATGCTGAAGTAGTGCAGTTACCTTGATAGATTTGTTTGTTTTAACGTTGTCCATGATGCCTCTTATGAAATCTTTATTTTTGTCAAATTCTGCTCCGGTCATGCTCTCAGATCCATCGAACAAAAAGACAAGGTTTACTTTTTTTTCTTTGCATTCTGGAAAAAGTTTCAAAAAGATAAACTTCAGTATTATAGAGATTTGGTAATATACAAATGAGGGTAAAGATTAATGTAAACAGTACATTTTTTTAACTTGGGTCGGGGTCATCTTACCTTTAAACAAAGAGTTAAAGGAGGACAACTCCTGAAACTCATCTGTGATGTTATAACACAAACTGTTCAGGAAGACGTTTTCATAACATGGATGAGCAAGACTTGGACTGCAAGCCTAAAGCAGAAGCAAAATGGTCAGAGAAATTGGATTACACACTTTTTAGACATTTGTTTTGCCGTACAATATCGGCAAGGTGTGAAATATCTCACAATAAACCGGGATCCTGAAGAATCTTTAGTTACTGACAAACCGAGATGTTTGGCCATATGTGACTTTTTCTCAGAAGAATCTGTAAAAGTAACATTTGGTCCCAGTTATAGGTAATGGTTCTTACAGAAATTTGTTAAAACAACCAGTTTCTACAATTCAGTTGGATGATGTGCAAATGGCAAATAAAAGATTGCACAGGTTCCTACTTTTAATTATTATTTATTATTATATTCATTATTATTAAATATGATCAATATGTATTTAGTGTTGTCACAGATCATATGGACCCAATACATATTATCTGTTTTTTTATTACAAATAATTTTTAATAAAAATGTGTTAACATCCAGTACGTTCATTTATTCAGTTTGGTTTGGTACACTTCTAACATTAAAACTATTTAAACCCCTAAAAGCCTAATAACATTTCATCAAGCAACAGCATACATAAATGTAGTTGGTTAAAACACCATGATACACCTAAAGAAAATCAAATGCAACCAGCTAACTTCAATAGTCTGTTAACCAACAAATAGTCCATCTGTGTTAATTTGATCCCAGCACAGATACACCTGAGCATAAGACAGGAGACAGGTCAGGGATAAAGCTAAAGACGCCTTTAAAGCAGTTCTAGGTGAAAAATTATATTTCAAACTTAGAAAGTCTCTTACAACTTTGTTCAATCGATCTTCTGAACAATGATGAGGCACAGCTCCAGCAAACAGTTTAGTCCATGTGGCAGACATCCTGTCTACTTTTAGGCTCAAAATGTTCCTTTTTGATAAGGCGTATAGTTAGAGTGGCTCAGGTTATTGTGAGCTATCCATATCTCTGTAGTTAAGATTCTATGGGCTTAGGCGCTGTTACCATGTCTAGTGTTTATCCCCTTTAGGCTCTGGAGGACAAAGGGACCCCTTTTCATCATTCTGCTTAATTTACTATCTACTCTCTAATTCGGAGGTCTTCAACAGGGGGTCCGTGACCCCTAGGGGGTCCGCAGAGGTACTGCATGGGGGTCGCAAAAGTTTTGGTCGCTTAGACTTTTTTTTATATTCCCCCCTGCGATTTTTTCCACTAATTGAAATGTCTTTAAATCCACATTAACATGAATTCAACAGACTG